TGATGAGCTTATCCTTATCAAGCTTCTTCACGTACGCGTCGGCAAGAACATTGTCGGAGTTAGAGCCACCTTGGACACGGCCGTTGTGGTTGTGGCTGCGGCCTTCGGGCAAGAAGCGTTCGTGTCGCCAGATATCAATCATGGCCCGGACTAAATTGTGTAAGCTGGAAGCTTCAGTACGTCTGGGAGAATCTTACTCATGTCGACCTGACGGTTCGGTAGGATGAGAGAGATGAGCGCATGTGTGCAGCGGAAGGTGTCCCACAAGGTATAGAAATCGTCATAGTACGGCTCTTTCGACTCCCAGGCAGGGTTCTCCCCCGTGCGATCAGAAGGCATCAGATGCGAGTGGTAAAGACCAGTGTAGAACATCTCGAGCTGTGTCTCGTTCTGAGTTTGGACATCAATCTTGGACAACACCTCATCGTTCCATGCGGCCTTCGCCTCAGTCACGGTCTTGTTCAAGTCCCAATGAGGAATCTCATCCTTGATGAACTGGCAAGCTTTCTCGGTTGAGATCCACGAGACGCCCACTTTTGACGTCAAGGTAGACACGGTCGAGGGGAATGAGAAGATGCCTCCAATACGGTCGGCATATTGATAGCCATCGATGCCTCCATGGATCGACGTCGCGTTGTTGTAAAACGGCTTGACGTCCGTCGTGTTGGGCCAGTACGGATCTGTGTAGATGCCAGAGAACAGGCCGACGTCTTCCGGCACGCTGTCAAACTGGCCACAAAAGTAGATCTTGAAATCGCCGCCTGCAAAGGGTCGGTCAGCCTAGACTTCTACTCCAGCATCTTGTGACCTACCAAGTGACCAGCCTTCCCTGTATATACCATATCCAGAGTATGTTGAGCCGTCTTCACTGCGCTCGAGGAACCCATTGCTGTACCACTGAGATTCCTTACCACGTGTCGGGAGGTAGTGACTTAGATCGACCAGGACATGGCGGCCGCCATCCTTGGAGAACTCATACTTGATGATGCCTGCGTGCATGCTGGCGCTCATCTCTGCCGTGACTCCGTTTTCCAGCACCGTCTTGTAGTATCCGACCTCTGCCACATCATGCCCGACTCTTGGCTGCATGTATGTGATGTTATCCAGCAGATTCACGCCCTCAAGTGTAGTGAGGGGCATCTGAGGAATCAAACCATAGGTGGGAGCACCTCCCGTTCCGCTGACGTGGAGCATGGTAATAGCGGTGACGTTGCCTTCGACTGTGTAGCCCGCGTTTGCCTGGTACCTGGTGTCCCATCTCGTGGTGTCGATGCCGACCTTGACGGCGCCAAACGGCAGAGTTGGTCCGGGGAAGACATTACCGCCTTGGTACGACGAACCGTCAGGCCCTTCTGTCCCAAGGAACAAGTCGACGTGTGGCGTGAAGTCCTTCGCCTCGGCGACTCCAGAAAGCCCGGCCACAATGGCGCTCACGCCGACGGCGAACGTACGAAACCCTCCCATGATGTCGGACTTGGCTGATCAATCGGGTGCAACGCGACGTGCCGCCCTCATCTGGGTTCGAGGAGGTTTTATGCTCACGAATCGCACGCTCATTTGGCGGGCGGCATTGACCCGAAGGGTCGGATTCGGTGCTGTCGATCTACATGATTGCGACCTTGGAAATGTTGTTTATATCCACTTTCCCCGCATAGAACGAATGACTTTATGGGGAACTGCCGGGAGACGATACTTGGATTGGTTAGGGCGCCGGCATCGCCAGATTGTTTAAAAAGAAGTCTCGTCCCCCCTCACCTTGGCAGCTCCGCGAAACTCCGCTGCCAATTAGCTAAGAGAACCTGTTCGCTTGTTTGATGATGTCAGTGCCAGGAAGGCCTGGCTTGTGGGGGGTCAAGTGATGCCAATTGATTTTAGGTCGAGAGTTTAAGCATCACTTCGGCCTTAGGATCATGGTGTTTTTGTGAAGTTGTGTACGCTTCCATTGCAACTGGATTCTGGGCAGCTTAACTGTGTTGATTGGTCTTGAATACTCTTTCAGTTTTGATGTGCGCGAAATTCATCCATGGCCGGATGCGCTGGACAAGCCGGGCAATTCGCACTGGCTTTACGGTTAAATTGAGAGTTCAGCCATGAGTTTATCCAGCGCTACCGGCTGTGTGGGGGAACGCCGTTGCCGGAGTATTCTCCACTCACTAAAGACATGGGTCCGGGAACAACCCAACGACAAGATGGGATGAACCGCAAGACATGAGCTGCGAGAAGAACGGCGGCTAGGTTGGTCATTTAAAACGCAGTGTCGGATCTTTATCGGCGAGTTTGGCCTGAAATTTCATCACCAAGTCTTCATTAAGATCCAAAGTCTTGCCCAAATAAGTCCATCCTCAAGTGTTGTAAGAGACAGTTCAAGTCTTGTTGGCCCGTTCGTTACTTGGCATTGCTAATTGAAAGCATTTCGATAGAAACTTCATCTTCGAAGGGCTTGCGGATCACCTCGAGGGTAGAAGAGTATTTTATTTGGCTTATTGCTCATTCTACCACGTTTCCCTTCGCCAGAGGTCCTAACACCAGTTTGGAATCCACACGTACAACCTCAATTATCGAGCGATGAGGTCTTAGCTGCTCAAGTGTGGATCCACGTTGTCAACTTCAAGCCTCTCACAGCGACAGCTCCATGAGAGCGGGCCTCAGGACTATTAACAGGCGATGTCCATTTCCTAAGCACAACCTCCAAGGGGCTTCGAATTGTCGTAGGGACACTGGCGGGTCTCCAACTCAGGCTGAACTTGAGGGTTGGTGGGAGCAGCGAAGGCCAAGGTGGCTGTCGGCAATGATGTGATTAGTACTTGTCACTGTGCAACGTTTGGATCGAGGGCCGAAGACATACCGAAAAGGGCGAAAACTTAAAGGAACTTCATTTTGATGAGGTGATTGGGTTGATAGTTGTCTGAAGTAGTCCGGATGATTTTGAGTTGTGTAGCGGTGAGGACGAGAGCGAGGAGCTTACGGAGCTAATGTGCCTCCTTTATAGGCGACCGCTCTCTGTTGACTACGAGCTTGCTATCAGATTAAGCTATCTCACCCCATTATTTGACCTAACTGTCTGCGCAAGGAGTGTGTGCCAGGCGATCAGATGCCGGCTTGGCGCGTAAAGCTTGTCCTGACCACGCTGCCGTCGGGTAGATGATGCATATGAAACGATCTGATAAGATGAGATAGAGAGGCCGAGCCCCACGATCCACGAACCCGTGTCATTGTGGGCGTATTGAATGTGACGCTAGTCGCATTTCATTGGAACCCATGGCAGACGCGAGCCGTGAGAGGATCGCTTCAGGTTTTCCTGCCCCAGTGATTTGCCTCGTACTCCATCCCGCGCAACACGAGCCCGCGCGGTTGCCCATTCCAGCGCCTTGCACGGCCCAAATCAACCGACCATCGAATCTCCGAGAGCCATACGATCTCCGAGTTTGAAAAGTGAGAAAATTGAGGTTTTATGACTGTAGGGTCAGAAATGCGGCGAAGGATAATTGCTATTCGACCTCTTCGCATTTTTGAAGGAACATGTATCTAAGCTGGTCCATGGCAGTGCGACGAACTTCAGGATTTCTTGTATTTTCGCTCGAGACGAGGAACGGTTAGGAGCCGGGAGGAGAATGAAGAGAAGCAAATGAGCGAGAATTAAGTTTCTTGAACTTGCATCGTCTACTCGGCATGGACAGAGATTGAAACCTGGAAGTATCCTCGCAGGTGTGGAGTAAGGACGTAGACAGTATTCGATAAGATGTCTTACGTTAGGAATACAAAGCCTTCCAAGTTGCTCACAAAGCATTGGAAATGATAACCTAGATTCTCTACCTCAGGTTTGACGAAAGATCCGAATCATGATTCTCAACAAGACATTCCCGACTAAGAGGAACCTTTCTAGCGATCAAGGTATCGGGACTTCTTATGATCTTCAAATGCAACTTGTTGTCTTGCCCCAGCATGACTGACCATCAAAATCAAGCTTCCAGGGAGAAATCTTCTGTCTCGACAGGTTTGTTGGATTATCAGCTAACCGAAAGTTTCGTGCAATATCGAGAACATTGACATGGACTGGTGGAAAGGATAAAGGGTTGAAGAAACGGGAAGAATAACGCCAAAAGGTTATGTTGGTTTCGAAGACTCTGCGTAACCTAAGATGATGAAGTTGATTGGCAAGGAACCTTTATAGACATGTTGAAGGTATCTCCCGTCCTACCTGCGCCTGGCGAGTGAGGTTATGTTATTGTCACCCCAAGACATCGGCGAAATTTAGTGCCAGCGTTAATGGTGCGCTGCCCTCGTCCGGAGCACCATGATGAGTTGTCGACATGTGCGAGGAACAGCCCAGAGTATCAAAAAAAGAAAAGAAAAAAAAAGACAAATAAAAAAGAGGAGAAATAAAAAGACAGCCGAGTCATCCTTCAAGGTCCCAGAGTGAGTAATAGTTACTAGGTAGACTATTTAGAATGGGTTTAGTTGAACTCAAATCAACCCCTCGTTGAAGGCTCCCGGGTCCGAGAGGTACAACCCGTACAGGTGGACGCCTCTTTGGTCGAAGCTATCGCAACTTCAATTCAATGCGTGTGACCATAGATGGTCTCAAGAAAGTGGTTATAAGCCCGGGATTTCGGGCTTTCTCTTGTTTCCTCTTGATCTTTTTCTTCATTCGCAATCATCCAATTTCTCAGCTTTCAGCTTGTTGACGCGCTTTTTAACCACGCTTGATAATTCAACCCACTTGATTATTCACGCAAGTTGATTACTTGCAACTCGATTATTCACAACTCGACTGCCCACTACTCACATACATACCACTCTTACGTACCACTCTTACATTGCCACTCTTACATTGCCACTCTTGCATTACCACTCTTATATACCACTTTTACTCGCCACTCTTACTTACCACTCTTACTCGCCACTTTTACTTGCTACCATTAATTGTCACTCGACTACTTACCAGTCGATTACTTACTACTCAATTACTCAGCACTTGGTTATATACCACTCCATCCATCATGTCTTGCATCACCAGCTTCTTCCGCGGCATCGTCCGCCTCTTCAACAAGAAGACGGCCCTCCCTGATGATCCCACTACCATCTGGACTCCGCGTAAGTATGTCGGCATTAAGCCAATCGTGGACACCTGTTCCCCTCAACTCGCCAAGCGATACGCCTCCAATGTCGCCAAGGATCAGCAAGACCAGTGGTTTCGCATCCACGACCAAGAGCAGCACCAACTCAACCACAATGCAGCAGCATGGACCGACCAGCGCCAAAATATGGATCTCGCCGGCATCGAGCTCCAGGAGAGCCACCGAGACGAGAAGATCCAGCGCGAAGTCATTGTCTCGAAGTATCTGGCGCGCAAGCAACGGGCCATGGGGCAGTTCTACCGAGACTGGCACAAGGACCCGACTACTAGTGACTTCCCCTTCTGGGGCAACTTGAAGTATTTGTACGATTACTAGCTATTGGTTTTGGTTTTCCTCGCAAGAGGCTTTTTCTTTCTCCGCCAACGCACTTTTGCGGTTGGTCAATACATACACTTATGCTCAATACACTTGCCCATTGTGATGTCTGTGATGTCTGCTATCTGTCTCTGCTGTTGTCGTCCTTTGCCATAGTCGTCCCTGTCGTCTGTCGTTGTCTGCCGTTATTCTCTTTCGTGTTTGTCACTTGTTATTGTAACTCCCTGCCATCATTGCCCCTTGCTATCATCGAGCCTTGCAGGGCTGCAATGAGCTATCTTGTGTACCTCACGTCTTGCCAGCACCAATATGTCTGCCACAAAGCTGGCCTGCACGCTGCTGAGCACATGTGCTCAAGTAAGGTAACTATGCGAATAGCTCCACTGTATTTTGTTGGCCACAAAGTGTGGAGATGGATGCATTTCACTAGGCTCATAGACATTAACATGGCTAGAGTGCTATCATGTTTTCTTATTCATACATCTACATCATCCATTTCATTAATACATGAATACATCGTCATCCGACACTATCTACATAGCCAACAGAGCAAGCAAGCTCACAGCCAGCGCACCCATGCTGACGGAAACCATGGCCGCACCGCTCTCACCGGTGGCGGTAGGTGCCGCGGTACCGGAAGCAGTGCTCGAAGGTGAGGTCGCAGTACCGTTGCTCTGGACAATGCGGCCCTCGATCTTGGCATCGATGGGGCTCTTGGCCTCTACATACTGAACAAGAACCTCGTCCTGGGTATCAAGCGAAACAAAGTCGGTCGTCGCAACAAAGATGTTGTCACCGCCGCCCGCAAGGAAGTCAAGAGTGACGACACGGTAATCCTTGGCGTCGTCCAGGGCCTCGCCGCCGATCTCAACCGACACAAGCTTGGAGCCGTTGTTGCCGGCGGGGTTGTACTCGACGACGATGTTCTTGGACACCTGGAAGAAGGAGGTGATGGGCTCGTTGTTGAACTGGTTGACCTTGGTCACGGCGCCCTCGAGCACCTTGCGCAGGTCAGAGCCGGAGTATGTGATCTCGACGATGGAGTTGCCGAAGGGGAAGGAGGTCAGGACCTCGCCGCGGGTGATGTTGCCCTCGTCGATTGTGGCGCGGATGCCGCCGGCGTTGATGAGCGCGAAGTCGGGCTTGGCGGAGTCGGAGTTGTTGAGGCGGTACTCGTACATGGCGTCCGTCATGACGTTGCCGAGGATGCACTCCTGCTTCTGGCAGAGGGTCTGGTCGAGCTCGACGTTGGAGACGCCGACGACCTCGGCGGCGAAGGCCTCAAAGGGGCCGCGCCACGACTCGATCTGCGCCTGCAACTCGGGGTCCTGCTCAGTGGTGTTGGTGAGGTGGATAGGCCCGCCGTGGTAGGCGAGGACCTTGCCCTCGGCGTCGTAGGTGACGTCGATGTAGCCGACGTACTCGCCCCAGCGGTAGGCTGTGACGATGAAGACGTCGTCGCCGTCCTTGTTCTGCTTGATGGTCGGGTAGGGGCCCTCGGCGTCCTCCATGGAGCCGAGAAGGGTGTGGGAGTGGCCGCCCATGATGAGGTACAGGCCGGTGGTCTGCTCGGCGAGCTTCTGGTCCTCGTCGTAGCCGATGTGGGTGAGGGCGGCGATGCGCGTGATGTTGGTGGTGGACTTGATGTGGTCGATGGTGGACTGGACGGTGGTCACGACGTCGAGGAACTTCGTGCCCGCGCCCGGCGAGGAGATGCCCGGGGTGGTGGGCGTGGTGACGCCGATGACAGCCAGCTGCTGGTCCTCGAAGATGTGGTAGGGCTTGATGGTCTTGTTGAGCTTCTCGTTGTCGGAGACGATATTGGCCGAGACGATAGGGAAGGTGAGGTTCTGCAGGAAGTCACCGAGCTCGTCGTCACCGCCGTCGAACTCGTGGTTGCCGAGGGTCATGGCGTCGAAGCCGAGCTGGTTGATCGTTTCGGCGATCTTCTCGCCCTTGTAGAAGGAGTAGAAGAGGGTTCCCTGGAACTCATCGCCGGCGTTCAGCCAGAGGGAGTCGTTGTACTGGGGTCGCAGCTCGTCGACGGTGTGCTTGATGCGGGCATAGCCGCCGTAGCAGCCACGCTCGGGGCGGGTGCAGTCGGTGCCTGAGGAGGAGTACTCGTCGAGATGGGCGTGAACGTCATTCACGTGGAAGAAGGACATGTTGAAGTTGCCCTCGGCGTCGATGCCGCGCTTGGAGAGGCGGGAGGAGTAGAGGTGGTCGGCATCCTGCTTCTCGGGGACCGCGAGCGCGGTGCCAGCGAGGGCGAGGGCCAGCGCTGAGATGGATTGACGCATCTTGAATGAGGCCGGAATGTGGGAGGGAGGTGAAGAATCACGAGCAATTGAGGCTGCGATTGAGAGCAGATGCAGTAGAAGTCAATGAAGGCTCCACGATGCTGCGATTGACGATGCGCCGCGTTGAGGACGTGGGGGAGGGAGGAAGAGATCTTCGGCACGCTGACGTCGCGAAAGAGGAAGCTATCGTCAACTGTCACGAGCTTCCCCTCGGTGGGATTATATATGGAATTTTCTAATCTCTTGCCAAGACCTTTCAGAGACACGCCGATCTCTGCAGCTTCGTTGTGGGCGGGTTGCGACGGTGCCACGGGCAACGAGCAGAAAATCTCACGAGGCCCTGCATGCGAATTGCGCTCTGCGGTCTGCTCTCTTTCGCGAGAAAGGTGAGTGGCTGGAAGGGCCCGTTGGCGGCGCGCGCAGCCAAGACCTTAGCAAGGTTGAATGATGCCGGGAGAACAGCTCCTTTGGTGACGATGTTGCATTTGCCAAGCCTCAAGCGCAGATGAGGGGTGTAATACACGTGTGGTCGTGGTTCAGATGATTGGCTTATCAGCGGCTCCTTTGCCTCTTTCGACCTTGGGGGAGGGACGGGGAAAGGGTTCCTGGGGTTCGTCCGTCTACGTCCGCCGGAGATGGGGGCACGATTGTTGGTGCAAGCTCCTTGGCTTGGAGACGGGCAGTGACCAATCTGAACTCTGCGAATCGTCACGGTCTCGCTGAAGCCTGTTCCACGTTCCTGAACGGCGACCGAGGAATGCCTTGTTGTGGTGTGATAGAATGTCTTGGATGTTTGGAAGATTCCATGTCGGATAGCTGGGCAGCCGCATGCTCACCGGCTTCGGTTGGTTCGTGTCATGCAACATGAAAAACCACCCTGATGAACCAGATCAACAAGCGGAGTACGCAGTAGCTTGATGTCCACAACCCGCCGCCCCGTCCATGATGAGCCCAACATGCACATCGAAACAGTCTCTCGGTACCACAGCATAACAGCTGGGGTGGCGATCCCACGTCGCCGTGATGTTGTGCCAGACCGGCTTGGCAGCACCTCTGCTCCCCCATCACCAATCTCATCCGTCCTTCTCTTTTCATGCAAGCTTCAATATCGAATGTCTCACGAGCTGTCCGTCGAAACCCGGGAGGGAGGACCAACTCTGCACCCCAGTTGGCGCGGCCGTCCGCTGGTAACAATCCCTGACAGCCAGTGGGGTTCAGCGGAGGAGCACAAATAACGTTAATCCATTCAGCGGTCGTTCCCCAGCTGTGCCCTCAAACTTTGCTCTGATAACGTTGGGTTCCTAGGCCGAACACGGAAGGTGAGCTGCTGATGGCGCTGAGCTCCGCTCCGCCAAGGCTGAGAGCTTTTCAATTTCAGCGAGAAGCTGCGGTTCCGGCCCCGGGGGTTGGTTGGAGGGGCATTAACCATTTACCGCGGGTGGAATGGAGCTTGCGTGAACGCGTCGCGTTGAGTGAGGGACAGCTGGGGTGAGAGATAAGAAGACGGATGCCAACGCTGTGGCTGCTCAGCTCGGTGATGAGCTACCCTTCTTGGGCAACAAGGCACGCGAGCCTATCTTGAATGCAGAGCATGTTGGTTGTCTAGAATCGCTGCAGGTGATTGATATTAATTCATGAGTCGGATGTCGCCGAGCAGCGGTGCCTGGATTCGGTGTGCTTGATAGCTAGATGCGGGCGGCACAGCATCGTGTACCAGTTGGCTCTGTACTTGTGCTGGCAAGACAGCATCCGCATCGTGAAGAAATGAGGAAACTAACAATTGCATTATGGATCGAAAAATTAATAAGGATGATTATATCAAAACAATTGTTGTGTGACCATGACATGGCCAATCTAAGCCCAAGTACGTTCGTTGCATTGATTTTAGTGAGCTCCTCACTACACCCAGGGGCTCACCGAAAGTTTCAGTGAGAAGCTCGGTAAGCGGGATTGCACGCTACGACTGACAATACCAACAACGCCATGGGGGCCTTCATGCTCTTCATTCCCCATGGATGACTGAATGCAATCATCCTCACTTTAGGTGCTGAAATGGATGCTGTTATATTTTCCTGGGAACTGGTCAGCGCGCCGCTTGTCGCATCCAGCATCAAGCTGTGGATGCACCTCTTGGAGTGACCTTTAGGGACTTGAGCTTCATATTTGAGGTACCTCGTCTACTCAGTGTTAAATATGATTCCGGCAGATAAACTTGATGTTACAAAGGGTTTCGCTATCCGGGTGGATACTTCAGGTAATCCGGTGGATAGCTCATTGCTTAGTACTCATGTTAAGCCTAGGTAGTCGTCTGTTATATTTTAATAATTCAACTATTACTATCGTCCCCATCGCCCCTTCTATACCTCTGAGTATACTCTACCCATCCGTAGGTATGCCTATTATCGTTGTCGTCGGTATCCCTATCGCCATCTATGCCCTCCACCCGCCCGGGTAGCTAGAAGTATCCGCCCAGATAGCAAGACAGGTAGGCGAACTTCGACCGTAGGGGTTATACCTCAATGGTTTTACGCCTTGACAGAACCAGCAGTCTAGGTACCTGTGATCACGACCTTGATACTGCCTTGAAAATGTTTTCACCATCTATAAAATCACATTCCGTGCTGCGCATCCCCGAACATCATTCTACCTATCACTTTCTAAGCGCATTCCGAAATCTAACGATCAACCCTGTCGACCATGGTAAATCTTACCGATCTCCCCGAGGAGCTGATTGTGGAAATTTGTCGTCATATTTGCTTCGACCGAGCGACCTGGAAGCAATTAATCGACAGATATGGACCTCCTTCCCCAGTCAGCCAACGCGAGAAGAATGGCGTTGCAAACCTCGCAGCTACATGCAGATTGCTACAAAGAGTTGCGACCCCAGAACTCCGAAAACATATCTTTGTCACAGATTACGCTGTCCCCAGTAGCGCACTGCAGCTAGCCAGACTGCTGGACTGTGTTGCCGCGGATCCGTTCGCTTTCGCCCCATCAATCGAATATGCCTTCCTTGAATTTGATTGGGACTATGCGTGGCACTTCAAACTAGCCGATGAGATGGACCGACTTTGTCTTGCTACGAAACGGGCGAAGGAGGCTAGCCAGATCGTCTTGTCAGACGAAGGCTACCGAGCATCACAACGCAATGCATACTATACAGATAAGCTTGCAGTTGCATTCCTGAGCCAGCTGAAGAATCTCAAGGAGCTTAAGCTTGATTCTGATGGTTTCATCTTGGCTGGCATCGCACAATACGTTCAAACACACTACCAATCCTTTCTTCCTTGTCTTGAGTCCCTCACTCTCCATAGTAGGCTGGGGATGTTCAAGGAAGAGGGATCCTGTATTGTTGCCAGTATAGCACACTTCGGAGAAAGACTAAAAGCTGTGGAAATTCATGGTATGCCATTTGCGAGTGTCACCGGCTCGACCTTCAAAAACTTAACCTCAGTCAAACTCATGGAGGCATCAATGCAGCTGGAATTACTGCGCCCTTTGTTGAGTGAGTGTCGCCTCGAGGAATTCGTCTTCTGTCGCGCCCGAAACAACAGCTTCAGCGCGGCTGATGTTCTCGACGCCCTCACGCCGAGCGCGGATACCTTGAGATCTCTCTTCCTTACTCTGGGTGATTATTGGGCCCGGCCTGAGTTTCCTTCGAATTTCAAAGGTCAGCAACGTCCATTCTCAATGGATCATTTCAAGATTCTGGAGAACTTCAGGATCGATGATTGGCGTGTACCGCGGCTTGCACTGCATGCTGCAGGAGCGCTTCCAACGGACATTAGCAGCACGAATAATAGCATGAGGCTTACCACGTACGCTGTTCTCCCATCAAATTTGCCGGAATCACTTATGCGATTCCATTTATATCGATTCATCCCCACTACCTCCCCGAATAGCACCTTCAGCGCTGGGGCCTTGAAGCTACTCGACGTCATCGCGGACGAGTGCTCGAGGGGACGGAGGAAATGTCTCAAAGAGGTAGCATTTCAGCCTGCTGGGGAAGAAACCAAAGAGATTTCCGAGAAGCTCCAGGCCGCAGGCGTTGACGTGGTTGGGATGCCAGCAAGTGGCCCGAGGGACTGGCATTACATTTGAGGAGGCATGAAAATGCTGTGATTTGATGAGCAGTTACCTATGATACATATGCAAGAGCTACATAGTAGGTTCGTGCATCTGAGATCGCAACGGGGCAGATTTGAGTAGAAGAGATCACATATTCAACTTTTGAGCTAGGAAAAGATCAAATACCCCGTCACGTCCCACCATCCTCGCCATCCTGCCCTCGCTACCGTACATTTGTCCTCAAACTAGGCTATCACTACCTGAAGCTCAAGGTGGTGTGCGTGATTTCCATTGGCTCATCATCGTCGGATAGATAGATCTTCTCGACTTTCGTTTTTTGGCTCATTTGCGGGAGCGCATCGCCCTTCATCTTAGAAGTGTCGATGTATGTGCCAGTTTGCTGTAAACGAGACGTGTCGATGGGCAGCCCAAAGCTCTCATATGCCCGGTTTGTATCCATAGGCTGCTCCAACTTACGCTTGAAATCGGGATCCCATTGGGGTTCGCTAGGCCCGGATTCCGGCTCCTTCTTCTTCTCCTCACTAGACTTCAAGAATCCGAGTTCTTGGATTCGTCTGTAGGCACGGCTCGAACGCGCTATGTCGTTGACAAGCTTCGTGTTGAACAAGTCTTTCGCAGCTCTCAACACGTCTGCACCCTCTGGCATTGCGGCAAGAGCCTGTAGGATCCACACTGTGACCAGAGGAACGTTGATCTTTGCCTTCATTGGTGTGGCCAGCGGGCCGAGGATCGGAACCAGCATCGGCTCGCACCTGTCGCGTACGAGCTTGAGGATTCTGAATGCTTCGGCGTGAAGGATCAAGAACGGCAGGTTGGCAAGGAGAAGCTCGTCTTCAAGAAGCGTAGCAAGCTCCACGATCAGCTCTACGGGGTACTTGGGTTTGAAACCCGCACCGCTAGCCCTTTCGACCAGAGATGTCACGTCCTCAAAGGTCCAGTTCTCCGATCCCGTCTGTCCATTGAAGGTGACGTATCTGTCATAAAACGCCGAGTGCATCGGAGTCCGCTCAGTGATCTTGCCCTTCTTGCCATCGAGGAGTCTGGCTCTTCGGGGCTGGGTCTTTGCTTCGTCGACGAAGTTGTGAATTGAGAATCCCAGGTGCATGGCAATGTTCCTCATGTAGCCAGGGTTGTAGTCGGCGCCTTCGCCATCCAGAAAAAAGTCTTCCGCCTGATCCTCCGTAATCATGCCTAACAAGCGGGAGTCCACCCACTCGCTTGCAAGAAAGTCCACCGCACCGCCTACCTCACTGCCTATTGCTTCCCAGAGATGAATCGCGCAGACGATGGACCGCGAAACATTAGCGATGGCAATTCCGGTCTTGTAAAGAATCATGCGATACCTGTACAGTGCCAGACCGCACATCATGGCGTTGTACTTGAACAGACGATGTTTCTCCAGCTCCCTTTTGGCCTGCCCCCTCTCGCGCCCGGGGAATTTCTTGATCTTGGCCTGCCAGACGGGGTCCTCGTCCAACAGCCACTTGATCTCCCGATCCATCTCTCTGATACGTGCATCGTACGGCTCCATCTCCTCCAACGACTCCGCCTCTCTGATAGCAGTGTAGTAATCTGCGGCTATCCCTCGCACTGCTCCTATTGTCTCGATGAACTTGTCAATGATGTGGTTCTCGACGTTGAGGTGCTCGCCTTGGCTGAAGAAGTTGTGCATGTCCGAAATGATGGCCGTTGCGAAAACGAGATAGAAAGGCACCTGGCGAGTCTCGACAGCTTCTCTGACGCCACGCAAGAGTGTGTCTTCTACAGGCCAGTTTGGAACAGATTCAATAACGACCCTAAGATCCTCAAAGAGGCGCTTCAGTATGGCGAATGTTTCGGCGTAGTCGCGGTATTCCATTCCGAGCTCGTAAGCCGGGTCCCTGGGGATGAATGGGAATGGCGGCCCTGGGGGTGCGGTAGAAGGTAGAAGTTCAGCCAGCATGTTGTAAGCATTCGCGAAGCTCCACAAGCCAGCTCCGTACATGATTTGGTCATCGCTGATAGATTCTTGGGGCTGGCCGGGCTTCAAAAGACCAAAGTAAGGGTCAGTGGGATTCGCCTTCACACGATAGTGCATCAGGGTGGCGTGCTCCTTCATGACGGCATAAATGCCGCCTTCAACGCCCTCAAAAGCTGGGATGTACTCATCGATCACATGGCGTGCCAAGTCCAATGCAGTGTTGGCAGAAACTGCAGCGGCAGCCATGTCGTGGCCTTGCATGTGTCGGCGCCAGGAGACTCTGATGCGCATGCGGAGATCAAGCAGATCCTTCCATAGCATTTGGAAGAAGAAGATTGAATCTTCCGGTGATGTGCCCATGTCTGCCTCATAAAGAGCTCCGTCATCACGTGCCGGTAGCTCGATGTCCGGGGCGTCGAGAAAGCTTTGGCTTGGCTCGAAGAGAGACAAGCCGGCGAATCTGTTGGCGAGATTGTCCAATCCATTGTGACTAGCTTGCGATCCAGCCGCGGTCATGCGCGGCCTCAATACATCGCGAACTTGAATGAGGATGCCGAGGAAGTAGCTGTGCTTCAAGTCGCTGGCAGTAGCCGGCTTGGCTCCGTCTTGGGTGAGTTTGGCGCTGAACCTCGTGCGGAGGTCAATAACCCTGTTGAGAGCGGAGACGAGAATGTCGGGAACATTGGAGGATTTGTGTTTCGCTGTTGAGATGTACTGGGCAAGAGGAATAAACTCCTTGACGGCAACAGTGTACTTCTTCGGGGCTTGATCGGTCTGCTTCTTCTTCTTCTTCCCTTTACCGCCTTTGGTCTTGTTCTTGGCTGGTTTGGACGACTCTTCTTTGGCCTGGATCTCGGAGAGGAGGTCGGATGGCTATCCGCATGACTTGGCTGTGGTAGCTAGCCATGCAGCAACAAAATTGGTGTCCTGCTTGTACTGCTGGTACAAGCTGAGAAGTGGCGCAGGGACAACCATTGTGTATGTAAATCGGTGCCGGCACGGTTGCGACAGGGATATCAAACGGTATGTTTACCTCTCAATTGACAGAGAGCAAGCGTGCTCTTACGAGTCGATTCATGAATATGTCTCATAGTGAACGTGAAATAAAGTTGAATAAAGAGGGGCGAACATGGTCGCGTCTTTGTCATGGTTCAACTCCCTGGCATCAGGCGTAGAACATCTATTAGATTGCAGGGGTTAAAATAGCGCTTCTTAGCCACTAGGGGGCGGCCTAGATAAATAAATAATCCGCTTAATAAGAGTAATAGGTTTTATAAAAACTATGTATAGAGTTTTTACTTATACCTAAGGATATATAGTTAATATATATCTAAGTTAATTTATTAATTAATAGTTTAATTTATATTAATTAATATATTAATAAGCTATTTATAGTATTAAAGAATAGCTTATAAGTATATAATAATACCTCTAAATAGTAAAAAGATCTCTCTAAAAAGTATAAAAGATTAGGTTTTTTAGATTAACTAAGTTTAAGCTTTTTATTACTCTTATTAGTTATAATATATTATAAACTTTAAGAAGTTCTCTAAGAGTACTATTTAGGTTTATAAGTCTACTTTTTAGAAACTTATAGTACTTCTAAGATACTTTTATATCTCTAACTATTTAGTATAAAGAAATATAACTATAATAGTTCTCTATAAGAATAATATAGAGATTCCTTAAGTAATAAGATTTATAGATCTCTCTTAAATAAACTATACTCTCTATAATAAACTTAGAGTAAACTATAGTTTTTTTAAAAAGGAGTAAGATAGTATAATAAAAAGTATATAAGAGGTTTAGTAGTTTATAAGGGAGATAATATCTATAGAGCTTTTATAATACTACTATATTATTAATATAAGTATTAATAAGTAGCTTTATAAGCTAAAAACCTATATTAGCTATAATAAAGGAGAATAAAAAACTTAAGTAATCTTTAAATATATAATAATAATTATAGCTTTTAATTAAAAGTTCTTCTTAATAAAGAAGGATATAGAGGTATAAATCTCTTAATAAGAAAATATAATCTATAAAAAGTAAAACTATAAAGTTCTAAATAACTTAAATTTCTTAATTTAATTTCCTAAATATATTAATATACTTATTTAGAGCTACTTTAATATATAGATATTTACTTACTATATAATTAAACTCTTCTTAGTAACTTAATAAAGCTTTATAGTTAATAAAATTATTTTTAATACTTAAATATATCTTATATACTTTAAAACTACTTTATAGAAATCTAAAATAAGTAGAAGTATATTTAACTTTATAATTTAAAATAGAAAACTTTAACTAAATAAATCTAAGTAACTTAATAAAATAACTAACTATAGAATAAACTATAGAAAAAGCTTTTAAAGAGGATAAAACTTAAAGTAACTCTTAGTAGTAATAAGAACTTACTAAAAGTGAGAAGAATCTCTTTTAGATATTTAAAATATAGAGAAACTATATTATAAACTATATTATAATATATATACTCTCTCTAAATACTTTTATATTAATACTATAATTTAACTAAAAGTATAAATACCCTAAATAGTTATTTAATATATCCTTAATAGAAGAATAGAGAATAATAAGGTTTTTATAAAGTATATTTATAAAGTAATAAAGTATACTTTAAAGTTAGTATAACTTTATAGGAGAGCTAAAAAGTATATTAAAGTAGTATTTATAATATTAAGAGAATACTTTCTTATAAGATCTATAATATTAGATTTAAGCTTTATAATATATATATTTAATTATATAAAATAGTTTATTACCCTATAAAGCGCTCTAGTAAGAGATTTCTTATAAGCTAGAATATATAAAATCCTTATTAAGATATATAGTATAGCTAAAATCTTAGTAAGAAGTATAAATAGTATAATAAAATTATAACTATTTAATATAACTTTATATCTTAGACTTATTAGTAACTTAGTATTTCTATAAAAGTTATATTAAAGAGGGATATAGTAAGATATAAACTTTAATAATAATTATTTATAAAAGTTAAACTATATATTTTTATACTTACTTAAGAATATTAATAACTAATATATTCTTAATTATAGATTACTTAATAAAGTAGCTCTTATTATAATTATACTTTTATTAGCTTTTATATAAGATAAAGTTTTAGAACTAAGAAAAAGATATAACTATATAACCTTAATATATTATAAGTTTATTAAAGGATTAGTAAAGCTTTAGTATTAAAAGCTTAGATATTTAAAGCTAAAAGCTTTTTAGTATCTATCTAACTTTATAAAAGAGGTTTAGATATTAAATAAGTACTTAAGAATTTTAACTATTAACTATAATATATATAAATAAGGGAAATTATATTACTAAGTATAATATATACTAAGAGAAGTAGTTATATAAGCTTTTTTAAATAAGAGAATTACTTTAGATTTCTATAACTATAAAAAAGAATATAAAAATTATATTTTAAGTATAATTATTATTAATAAAGCTTTAAGCTTAATTTAAAACTTCTATTTAAGAAGTAAGAAAATAGACTTACTTTTTAATACTTTAAATAAGTTTCTAAACTACTTTTAAACTATATTTAATATCTAAGTTAAGAAAATTAAAATAGATAATAAAATATTAAAGTATAAATAAGTTAAAAAAGAATTATATATAAAAGGTATTAAGATTAAGCTATCCTCTCTATATATATAGGTATAAAATAGAGAAGTAGAAAGAGTAGCTATAACTATTAAGTAGTATATAAAAGTAATAGTAATAAGTATAAAGTTATTAGATATACTTTAGCTAGAAATTAATAAAGTAGCTATATATATATATAATTATATATTAATAATAAGTTAAGGATAGAAGACTTTATATAAGCTCTTTTATAGCTACTTCTAATTATAAGAAAACTTATATTTAGTATAGCTAGACTTTTTATATCTTTAAGCGTATAGATATTATATATATATAATAACTAGAGATATTTAACTTAGAAGAAATAAATATTAGAAACTTATACTAAGAGTATTTATTAGTTTTCTTTTAAACTATATATTAAGTAATTCCTTCTATATATAGAACTTACTAAAAAGTAAAGTATTTATTATATAAGATATAATATTTAATAAGAAGAAGTTTTATAGTAGAAATCTAGCGTATATAGTAGAAGAGTTTTATTATATAGACTTTAAAGTAATCTAAAAATATATTATTTAGCTTATTAAGGTGTTTTATAGTACTTTTATAAGATAGAAAGCTAATAAAGAAGTAGATAAAATCTTTAATTATATTAAAACTACTATAAAAAAAGAGATTAACTAAGAATAGCTAGAGAAAATAATACTATATATAAATATATAGTTTAAGCTTTAGCTAATACTACTTCTTTCTTTAGAACTAATAAATTTATTTATAATATTTAGTAAAGCTTTTTAAAAAGTTTTTAATATAAAGAAGTGAGAAATAAACTTATTAGTAATAAAAATAACCTTTAGAACCTTATTTAAAGCTATATTCTTAATAAGAAGTAATCTATATAAAAACTTTTATATTCTTTAGAGATTAAATAGTTTAAATAACTTATATATATAGCTTAATTAGCTTTATATAGCTATAAGGGAAAATTAATCTATAGATATAATAGAAAGGCTATAAAGTGAGGGAGTAGAGATTAAAAACTTAAAAGTTTTTAGAAAAAGCTTAAAGAAGTATAAAATACTTTTTAGAAACTCTCTCTTATTAAGAGTAGCTTAGTTTATATATTTATACTTTATAAGTACTTATTAATAAGAGTTACCTCCTTTTTTAATATTATATTAATAACTCCTAAATTAAGAAAAATAGCTAAACTATAAAAAGAAATATAATCTCTTAAAGCTTAACTACTACTTTTTAATAGAAAGTTTCCTATAAATAGAAAAATCTTACTTATAAAGTTATAAGAAGTCTAAGTTATAAGAAGAAATTATAAGAAATACTTTAAGAAATTAATAAGTCTTTAGATATTATTAAGTATATATTTATAAGTTTAATAAGTATAGTAAACTTATAAAGCTAAAAGCTTATTTAGTAATTTAAAGAGATTAATAAATAAAAAATATTTAAGATATTTATACTATAACTCTTATAGGAATATTATTTTAAACTCTAATAGCTATAATAAACTACTTTAACTTAGAGCTTCTCTAATATAATATAATAAATATATTTATATATATTAAATTTAATAAAATAGTATATATAAAGTTCTTATTTAGCTATAAGAAGCTTAGAAAAGTATTTAAGCTTAAAAAAGCCTTATATAGACTTTATTAATCTCCTTTCTTATAGTAATATTATCTTAAAAAGGGACTAAAAGAATTAAACTTTTTATAAATAATAAAAGAGGATTACTACTAAAGAAAGAGTTAAATATATTTTTTCTTCTATATAGATAACTATATACTTATTTACTTAATAGTTTCTTAAAAAGAAGCTAAAGAAGTAATTAAGAAACTCTAAAAAAAATATTACTTTAAAAGTAATAA